CACTCCCCGCTCCCTTTAATATCCCACCCAGTCTAATCCCACTCTCCCCCTCACTCCCCACTCCCTTTAATATCCCACCCAGTCTAATCCCACTCTTCCCCTCACTCTCCACTCCCTCCAATATCCCACCCAGTCTAATCCCACTCTCCCCCTCACTCCTTGTTCCCTTTCAACTCCCACCCATTCTAATCCCACTCTCCCCCTCACTCCCCGCTCCCTTTAATATCCCACCCCCTGTAATCCCACCCTCCCCCCTCACTCCCCGCACCCTTTCATCTCCCACCCAGTCTAACCCCACTCTCCCCCTCACTCTCCGCTCCCTTAAAGATCCCAAACAGTCTAATCCCACTCTCGCCCATCACTCCCCACTCCCTTTCATCTCAAACCCAGTCTAATCCCTCTCTCCCCCCTCACTTCCCGCTCCCTTTCATCTCCCACCCAGTCTAATCCCACTCTCCCACCTCACTCCCCACACCCTTTCGTCTCCCACCCAGTCTAATCCCACTCTTCCCCTCACTCCCCGCACCCTGTAACGTCCCACCCAGTCTAATCCCACTCTCCCCCTCACTCTCCGCTCCCTCTAATATCGCACCCAGTCTAATCCCACTCTCCCCCTCACTCCCTGCATGTTTAATATCCCACCCAGTCTAATCCCACTCTCCCCCTCACTCCCCGCTCCCTTTAATATCCCACCCAGTCTAATCCCACTCTCCCCCTCACTCCCTGCACGTTTAATATCCCACCCAGTCTAATCCCACTACCCAGTCCTTTTCATATTTAACACTTCTCACTTTCAAAAAACATTGTAAATCATGGAAGAATTTGATAATTCCACTTTCATAACAGCTTATTAACATTTCCATTAGCTCACCACCCTCATGTCGAGCTGGCTTAGAGCCTTCTGTTCAGTTCTTTTTCGCATTATCCTTTCTTAGATGGAGCAATGGAGTGTGAATAGTTTTCATGATTTCGGGGATGCTGTCAGTTTAATAAACACTGACCAGGTTCTGTGGGGTTTGGGATCAAACTGTTCCAAAAAACCCAACCATTGTTGTTCTGTTATAACAAGGTGTGGAGCTGGATGAACACAGCAGGCCAGGCAGCATCAGAGCAGCAGGAAAGTTGACGTTTCGGGTCTGGACCCTTCTTCTGACCCTTGTTGTGTTGGTGCGCTAAATGGGGGACACACTGAGGGACATGGTGCTCATACTCCTGGTCATAGGGAGACGTCCATCTCCCAGTGGGATGCAGTAAATGTGGAAAATTCATTCCTTCAGATATATTTATGGCAACAAACACAGAAATTGCAGCAGGTCTGGCAGCATCTGTGGAGAGAAATCAGTTAACCTTTCAGGTCAAGTTCCTGAGAACTGGACCAAAACGTTAACTCTGATTTCTCTCCACAGATGCTGCCAGACCTGCTGAGCTTTTCCAGCAATTTCTGTTTCTGTTTCTGATTTACAACATCCACTGTTCTTTTGCCTTTTATGAGATGTTTGCAGCTTTGTCTTTATAGTTAACTTTCCTCTCTTTCTCCCTCTCTTTCTCCCTCTCTGTCTCTCTCTCTCTCTCTCTGTCTCCCTCTCTTTCTCCCTCTCTTTCTCCCTCTCT